CTTAAAAAGGGAAAGTAGAAATATTCCAATCAAAATACCTTTTCCAGGGGACCAGCAGATGCTGTGGTGGTTAAGGAACTGGACACTAGAACATGGTCAACCATGGTTCCAGTCCTGGACCTGGTTGCTTGCTCCCTCTCTCTCTCTCTCTCTGGTAAAATTCAAAATAAATGAATGAATAAATAAAATTAAGTAAAATAATTATTTTTAAAAGTATCTTTTCCATTATCATTCAGAAAGTCAGCTCTAGTATATCTCCAAATAGGACTGTGTTTTTAAATTTAAAAAAAAAACATCTGGTGCCTTCTTCCTGTCTTGGCCTGACTACCCACTAATAGGGAAATCACATGACCCAACGATTCTTTCTTGCCCTTCAAGAACATTCTAATATTGGAGAAATAAATTTGAAAGAAGAAAAAGTTAACAAAGCCATCTGAAAACATCATTAGTTTAATATACCTTTATACAAAAAAAAAAAAAAAAAAAAAGTTAGTAATGTTGAGCAGTTCATGTAAGTAAAGAAAGACTATAATGAGAAATTAGAGAAAAATAAGGAAGAAAACTTGGTAAAGAAAATGAGGTCATAGATAAAATCATTATTTTTGACTAGAGTTCAGAATAATACTATTGCTCAGAATTTAAAATGAAGTTATAAATGGGTGACGTATAATAGCTCATTAATAAATATGTAGAATATATACAATCTTTTTTAATACCTTTGAGGAAAGAGAGTGCTAAGAGACTCAACAAGCCCTTTCAACCCAAATCAGTAATTTCTGTACAAAGCTTTTAGACCCATCCGCTAAGCAGACAGTGCAAGTTCCCAGCCAACTACACTAAGTTTCCAAGGTAGAGCACTATTGATCCTTTACCACGATAAAAAATAGAAATTACCCCTCAATTCACCTAACAGGGTCCCCTCACCTCCTCATATCCCCAAACTCCGGGAAATCTCTCACTGCCTCCCAGAGATAGAGCCTAGAAATTTAGATTTTATCACTACAGAAAGAAAAACAACTTGTCCTCATCTGCATAAATGCTGAAATGTGAACAATACCTTCTTCAGATCTTTGAATTTTTCCAAAGAAGAAAGCTAAATTGAGGGAAGGTCACTGTCACTAAAAATAATTGTAAGCATACTCCAACTTGGTAACGAGCCCAAGGCAGCATCCTCTCTGGAGTTTAGATGAAACATGGTGGCTTTGTCTTCAAATACAATGTGAAGTGTAGCCCTAGGATGGCAGCAGATGGCAATTATACAAAGGCTTTTGGGGTTTTGTCCTGTTTTATCAGTAATTTTTTTTAAAAAAATTTGCTATAGGACACACTCAAGGAAAGCTGGGGAACAGTGAGAAAGCACCCTCTACCCCAGAGATGGCTATACTACAATCCCTTTTCTTCCATTCTCTTCTCAGGATTTTAGGCACTTAAGCATACACATTCAGCATGTTTTTCAAGGTGCCTGGTCCAAGTCTTATAACATGCAGTCAACTACATGGGATCCAGCCACCCCAAACACCACACCACCAGAGGACCCAAAAGGCTTTTGTTTTAATCAGTATATTTCATAGAGTATTTCTTCACTTCTCTATTTTACACTGAATGGACAAACAAGTCAGAAAAGCTTGGAGCATGGAATCAGGAGACTTGTTATAATTTGGACTCTCATTTACTAGTCCTTGGCTCTTGAAACAAATTATTAATTTCTTTGATGCTTAAAATATTCATCTATTTTTAAAAGGTAAATAATTCTGTGAGGTAGGCAAGGCTAAGTGAAGTACTTGAATGAAATAATGTATGTAAAAGAAATTTGTAATCATAAAGCTCTAAGTAAATATCAGAAAGCATTAAACCAAAAAGAGAGCTTAAAAGCCTCCTGACTCTAGAAACATTCCTTATCTGAAATAGACAATGGACAAAAGGGGCCTTTTTAATAAAAGATACAAAATCCCATGATAGTACTGTTCGAGGTCATCTGAGGATAAATATTAGTTCACACAACACAATATATTACGGAACTTAAATATAAATTACAGACATGCTTACTAGAGAGCAGCAGATGACGTAGTGGTTATATCACTGGACTTCCACATAGTCGAGCCTGGTTCAAGTCCCAGATCTGGCAGCTTAAAACTTATACCAGGCATGGAAACCAGCAGTTAGCATAATGGCTATGTCGCTGGACTCCCACGTAGTCGACCGCAGTTCGCGTCCCAGAACTGGTAGCTTAAAACTCACCCCGGGTGCATCTGCATGCATGTCCAAGATCCTGAGAGGAGAATGGAGGAGAAGGGATTGTGGCATGACCATCCCCCCTAGGGGGTGATTTCTTGCTTTCTGTCTCTATGTCTCTCTCTGTCTGTCTGGCGAGCGCACACGCCCTATAGCGAAAACCTCTCAAAAAAAAAAAAAAACTTATACCAGGCATGTGTGCGTGTGTGCCCAAAATCCCAAGAGGAGAATGGAGGAGAAGGGACTGTGGCATGACCATCCTTCCAGGGGGTGATTTCTCACTTTCTGTCCTTCTGTCTCTCTGTCTCTCTGGTGAGTGCACGTGTCCTGTAGTAAAAAAAAATCTCTTAAAAATAAAAGTGCTTACGATATGTATAGGATGACCATATAAATAACACTAAAAAACAGTTCAGCTTAAACTGATACTCATCAAACTATGGTTGCAAAAATCACTTTGTTCTTTGGGTTTATACCAAGGTATTCTGTCAGCAAAATCTGTGGTAGGCCAACCAGATAGTGTGGTTGTTAACGCAGATGGATACACATGGCCAGCTTTAAGGTTCGAGTCTCAGATCTGGCAGCTTGAAAAACATGCTAGGGGTACGTGCATGTATACACAAAATCCTGAGAGGAGAGTGGAAGAGAAGGGACTATGCTGTGATCATCCCTGCTTAGGGATATTTTCTTTCTCCTCTCCACCCCATCTTTCTCTCTGGAGTACACACAACTTATAGCAATTAAAAAAAAGAAGTATTTTACTTAACTTTATTTATCAATTTTATTAGTTATTTTAAATTGACCAGAGAGGGATAGAGTGAGAGAGTGGAGTTAGAAAGTGAGAAAGCAAGCCACCAGGTCCAGGACTTGAACCCCAGTCGACCACATAGGAGTCCAGCACCTTTAACCACCATGCCACCTGCTGAGAAAATCTGAACAACTTATGTTTTAATTTACAGACACAATTTTAATTTGTGGGTAGAATTTTATCCATTTCAGGTTTTTATTCACAAATTCTTCTTCAACCCTTTGATGGCTTCTGGCAGACATCAATGGCTTGCTTTTGCTTATAGTCATATACCAGTGTGTGCTCGCCAGAAAGAGAGAGAGAGACAGAGAGACAGAAAGCGAGAAATCACCCTCCAAAGTGGGCGGCCACACCACTATCACTCCTCCTCCATTTTCCTCTTGGGATCTTGGGCACGCACACTCACACACCCAGCGTGAGTTTAAGCCATCGGGTCCGGGACTCGAACTTTGGCCAACTACATGGGAGTCCAGCAACATAGCCATTACGCTAACTGCTGGTCCCACTAGTGCCTGGCACTTTAAACTGCTAGGAAAATTTCCCTGCAGTCATATAATGGCATGAAACATTGTTTCGATATTACCTGGCAGAGCTAGTTCCTCCCAAGAGAGACTGGTGGGGGAAAACACAGGAGATATAAGACAGGGCAACTGTAACCTGAGGCAGCCTGGGAGGTGGAAAACCCTGGAAAGAAGTCAAAGTTTATAGCTAAAAAGAACAGGGTTCGGGACCAGCAGTTGGCGTAATGGCTGGGTAGCTGGACTCCCCTTTAGGCGACTGGGGGTTTACTGGGGTTTGAGTCCCAAACCTGGTGGCTTAAACTCACACCTGGTGCATGTGTGTGCGTGCCCAAGATCCCGAGAGGAGAAAAGAGGAGAAGGGATTGCGGCATGGCCATCCCCCTGGTGGGTGATTTCTCACTTTCTGATTCTCTGTTTTTCTTTGTCTTTCTGGGGAATGCATGCACCCTATATTAAAACCTCTCAAAAATACCCACAGTTCACATCAGCATTAAATCTAGAGTGTGCAAGGTGTGGATGGGATGGGTAGCTGGGAGAATGGGCAGCATAAGAAAACGGGACTTGAGTTAAGTCAAGAGCAAAAAGACTTGTGGAGCAGAGCATTTGTATATTAGTATGGGCCTCTGTACACATAGAGCTCAGTGGTTATTGTGGAATTAAATGCAAAGACTTAAAGAAATTGGATTAAATTTACACAACAATAGTTTATAGGATCCATAGAGAGCATCCTGACTTCCAGGTGATCTGCCATCCAGATTTGAGAAGTACTGAAGTTAAGTTATGAATGACAGAGTCATAGAAGATCATAAATAGGCAACAGAAATACTCTAGTGATAGTCTTAATTCTTGGAAGGGACACAATGAAGAAAAATGTACTCTTCTAACAACGTACTTCTCATAGTCTCTATTAGAGGAAGATTGTGAACTGGTTTCTCTTAAGATAGTAGTTACCATGATCACAATGATTCATTAAGATGGCTCTGAGCAGTGTGACTACTTTAAGGAATGGTGCTCAAGAGTCTACAGTCACAGGCCCTCCAAAAATTAGAGCAACGCCATCTTTAGGTCTTGTTCTAGTCTACCTTTGGAATACAGGTTTATGATGTTGGGTTGACCCTACTATCAAAGGGAATGAAGAGTCTGTCTGGATTATCTAGCTTATTTCATCTATGAAAACAGCCTGAACTGACAACTGAGGCTCACATTTCATTTCTTTTAGTCTAAATCATCCTGGTTGTCTGTTTTCCTGCAGTAAACTAATGGTGAAATCATAACTGTGTCCCTTGCTTGGTGCTGTATCTAATCCAGTGGTCCCCAAAAACTACAAACTGCTAACAGTTTGCAAACATTTATTGTGTTAATATATAGTTGATTTTATGGCAATATCAATGTTAACAATCATGTTATTTATCCCCCTCATTTTAGAGAAAAGGAAATGGAGATATAAAGAAGAGGTAATGTGACTTGCCTGAATTAATCCTTCAAGTTAGTGACACAGCTGAAGCTAGAATCCAGGTCCCCTAATTCCCAGGATTTAATTCTTTAAATGGCACCATTTCGCATGTAGAGGTATGTACCATTATTTCCATGTAAGCCCCCAACAATTTTTTCTCTTTGATTTGAAGTCATACTATTATAACATTATAAGTCCTAATATATATTAAAGCAGGCAGGCAGGTTGAGAATTAACCAACTTTGCAGAAAACACAATCTCATACAAAAGTAAAATTTTCTAGGTAACAACAAAGGTTTCCTGGTTTTATAGAACCCAACATGCAAAACAAGAATGTTACAAAACAGTCATACTAAAGTTGACTGCATTAAGATGATCACTTGGTAGAGCGTTCTGAGGCAAAGAAACAAAGTTAAAATGGTAAGAGCCACTGCCAAATGAAGACCAGAAGTCAAAATAAGCATCTTTGAAGTTCTAATGGAAGCCATGAAAAAGTATAATCTATTGGGTCATCAGAAAAGTCATGATACAGTTTTGCATTTAAAAAAAAATTACATCATGACTTTTCTGAAAACCCAATATTTGAGAGGAACTTAGTTTATCCAGAAAATATCAGGGCCCTAGTAATGATCCTAGAGAATGGCCTTTCTCGATCACACAAATAGCAGCGCTATCACTGTTTGTCTTTGTTTTTGTTTGTTTGTTTGTTTTAGAGAGACAGATTTTTGCTATAGGGTACATATACCCGCTGGAGAGACAGAGAGAAACAGAGAGACAGAAAGTGAGAAATCACCCCCCATGCCACAATCCCTTCTCCTCCATTCTCTTCTCAGGATTTTGGGCACAATGCACATGCGCGCAGCATGAGGTTTAAGCCAATGGGTCCAGGACTTGAACCATGGTCAGCTATCTGGGAGTTCAGCAACGCAACCATTACACCATCTGCTTGTCCCAACCACTGTTCTAGTCACTGAGGCCTACACTGAAGGCCTCCCTATACCTCCCCCACTACAAACTTCTGTTTCTTCTTACTTTGAAATAAGTCTACAAATCTCCCCTTCTCGGGTCCAACAGTTAGCGTAATAGCTATGTCGCTGAACTCCCATGTAGCTGACCACAGTTCAAGTCCCAGACCTGGTGGCTTAAACTCAATATAATCTTCTCTCTCCTCTCCTTTGATTACCAGCATTCAAGATGAGATTCTATTGACTAGTGGCAAAATCCCATTTTCTCCTGCTCTACCTTGCCATTGGCACTGCTATAGGAACAAAATTTTTAAGAATTTTTGCCATAGGGCACATGCACTGCCATTAAGAGACAGAGAGAGGGGGAAAGTGAGAAATCATCCCCCAGAGGAGATGGCCATGCCACAATCCCTTCTCCATTCCCTTGTAGGATTTTTGGGCATGAACTCACATGTACCTGGCATGATTTTCAAGCTGCCGGGTTTGGGACTCAAACTGCACAGTTGGCCATGTGAGATCCAGCTGCCTTAACCCCCCATACCACATGCTGGTCCCAGAAGTCACCTTTTAACATATAGCATTCTCAATCACTTCTTTAAGAATCACAGTGGCTCCTCAATAGCTACAAGATCAAGTTCTACCTTTTCAACTGGATAGTGTATTCACTAATAAGAGGGCCCAGTTTACTTGTTCCTGCATTCTTCTATTTCTTTTCCAAATGCTGCCCTACTCAAGACAGTGCAAATTTCTACCCTGGACTTCCACTCCTACCCCATTTGTAAAGGAAGTATTCTTGCAACTCACACATCTGCCTATCCAGATCCTACCCAACCATTAAGGTGCAGCTTAGGTTCTACCTCTTTCATATATTCACTTTTCCTAGCCATTTCCCAATAACTCCAGCTAATCTGGATCTTTACAATTTGATTTAGCACCAGCTATGTTCAAGACACTGGTCTCCTACTTGCTTTTTAAAAAATGGAAAAAATTAACAGGTAAAATTAGTGACCTGTAAAGCAAAGTCCTGCTCTGAAACAGAGATGGACAAATGTTTATATAATCCTTGATGATTCTGTGGTATTATGGACAGTGTCAGGCTATCAGGTGACAGGTTTTACAGTCTCTCTACCTCACAAGATGAAAATAACCTCTTAAGTGTGTGTGTGTGTGTGTGTGTGTGTGTGTGTGTGTGTGTGTGTTTTACTTGCCAGAAGGTGCATGCAGTTGCTATGGAGAGATAATGACAGAGAGAGAGGGAAAGGGATAAAGCACCTCCCAGTGGGGCATGTTCATACCACAATACCATCTCCTCTATTTCTCTGTCCTATCAGGATTTGGGGCATGTACACACACATGCTCAGTGAGCTTTTCACGGTGCAAGGGCTCGGATTTGAGCCACAGTCAGCGATGTGAGATCCAGTTCCCTTAACCATTAGACTATGGGGCCAGCTCCAGAATATCTTAAATGTTCTTCATCCATGACACATTATCTGTTTGTTTTAGAATCAGAGAATCTTAGAATATATGAGAGGGAAGGAATTTATTAGGTTGTCTAGAAAGAGATGATGTATTTTTCTGTTTTTCTATGTAAAAATGAGTCATGACTTTCCCAGCGACCCATAGATCATTAATTATACTTTGTACGTGAGAAAACTGAGGTTCACTTCTGTTTCCTCGGATGTCTATGTTTTCCTTCCCATTAGAAAGACATGGCTCTTAAATTAATAAAACATTTTTTATAAAGATGTTCAACAGCATGTATTGAGAGCTTTAAAGATTATCCCAATTTTTGACCCAGCAATTTGACTTGAGGAAGCTATACCAAGCAAATAATCCTAAAAAGTGTAAAGATCTTTTGGCACAAAAATATCTATTAAAGCTTCATATACAACAATGGAAATAAATGGGAGAATCTTAAATATCCCCCAAATGGGACTGGTTAATTAAATTATAGTATACCTGACTTGACCCTAGGAACTATTAGTAGCCATTTAACATGGAAGTTTAATATATGATAGTTTGAAGCATATTGTTTAATCTCACCTAGCAGCATCTCTTCTCCACAAAGGAAATTAGTGGTAGGAAGGGTAGGAGCTACAAAAGTTTTAGTACTGATAATTATGTATGAAAAATTCCTACAAAATACCAAATGAAGATAATTTAATACCAAAATGTATAGTAAGGATGAGGTCATTTTATAATGAATGGAGGTAAATGACTGGAAAGATTTCTTTATTTTAAGCCATATTACTATATTTTTAATAATACTGTATTCATTATTTATTATTCTAAGTATGCTTTTTATAATTTTTATTTTGAAATAATTTCAGAGACATAGGAAAGTTATAAAAATAATACAAAGAACTCCCACATACCATTGACATAGGTTCTCTAATTTCTATCATAAAACAAAAAATAAAGAAGTCTCTCTTCACCACTTAAGGAGGTTTGGCCAATAAGCTCCTATGTGAACATTGTCGTTTTAGATTTCAAAGTAAAGAGGCATGTGGGATCTGGGATTAAGGCTACACCAAGACTTATAATCAGAGGCAAAAATGTTAACAAATTACACTGCTTGTTATTTGCTGTAATCAGTGTCATTCCTTTCTGCCTTTTCCTCAACTACTTCAAGGAACATCATGTAGACAGAGTGATAATGAGTGTTGAGCAACAGATTTAAACTCCCCCATGCAGCTGAGTGACTTCAGAGGAACAAACAGATATTTTTCTTTCATGTCTTCATACCCTAGTAAAAATGAAAAGTAATTATTTAATCCAGCTGCCAGTGGTTTTACAGAACTTTCCTCAACACCAGAGAGAAGTAGAAGAGATTACAAAAATAAAAATACCACACATTCATATCCATGAAAAAATACATTATACAAATGAAAATAACCAAGTCTCAACATAGATACTATATAATTTTACACTAAAATAGAAAGAGTCCCCTGTATTATAGACATTTTAGAGGTGGAAGAGACATTTGGGTCATCCAACTCTATATAATAAAACTTTCTACAATAATAAAAATGTTCTGGACCTCTGACTGTATTGGCCCTTTGGGTTCAGTAGTAAGGCACCCCCCCAGCCAGGGTCTCCTCTTCCAGACCCTAGTGGTAGTCAGATAAGCAAGAGTCTCTCTCCGTCTTGTTCTTCTCTGTCTCTTCTAACTTTTCTTACCCACCTATTTAAAAGAAAACAGCTCTCTGTTCCTTTTTTGCTTTTCTCTTGCTAATTTGTCTCCTCTTCCTTCAACTAAGACAGAAAACATCCAGGCACTTCTACCTCTGACTGTGTAGGCCCTTCAAGGGTTTTCCACTTTTAACCCAATTTCATTACCTACAACATAATTTATGGTTTTTCTCTCCTCTATTTATTCTAGTACTTTCCTTTTTTTCTTGCCCTTTCTTCCTATTTCTTTTTCCTATTTTTCTTTTATCTTACTTTCCTGTTTTACCATTCAGTCCTTACCCACTACCTAGAGATTAGGTGCACAGTAGCTAAACATCTGAACATTGTGAGTTTTAGAGAATTCTTTGCAACTCACTGTAGTGGTTAAAAAAGAGTTAAATTCCCCCATCATAAATCTGATAGCAAAACTACTCCTGTGATTCCAACACTGGATGACACATTAGAAGGGAGAAAATTGCACCAAACTATTACACAGTACGGGAAATACATGAGCTCACAATCACAGAATCCTTCTCCAACAAATTAGCCAAAATTGAATACATTACCAAATGACTAAAAATCAGAGAAGAGACCCAAGGATAAGAGAATCAAGTAATACATCTCCCACAAAGGAACATTGTAACTTGTCTCCAAGTAGAGAAAATTTAGAGAATATCACCAAAATGTCAGAAAAATTATTTAGAATGTTTATAGTAAATACTTATGGTAACAAAACTCTATGAGATTCAAGAGAAAAGAGACATTGAGCTCCAAGAGATAAGGAGTACTTCCATGATATGAAAAAAGAATTGGACATCATAAAAAAAGAATCAATAAGAACTATTAGGTATGAAGGCTGTAATACAGGAAATCAAAACCTCCCTTGAAAGTATTAAAAACAGGTTAGACCATGCAGAAGATTGAATTTTGGGAGTAGAAGACAAAACCTCTGACCTAGAAAAAATTATCAAAACTACTGA